TGGCGAGCCTAGCGTCTGCAGTCTCACTGGGTCTCCATGTGTTAGACACGCCCCCTCCTACCTTGGGGGATTGGCTCGAGCATGATGTGATCGGGGTTTCTTATCCCCGCCAAGTAGTAGTATAGACTTAGGCCTCCGGCCTCTTTCTTTATATTAAAAAAAAAAGTTGGCTCTATTATGGAGCCAACTGTTGGCTTCATAGCAAAACCGATTAAATTATATTAGGCTCCACCAACTTTTATGCTGATTTTAAGAAAGTCAGTTTTTTTGTCTATTTGCTTGTAATTATATCCACCAGCTGATCAATTGCGGACAATATTAAGGTACATATTATTAAATTTTTGAGTTGTGCCCTAAGTTCAACCCCAACCAGTAATTATTTTAATTTAGCTTAATTGATTATAAATAAAAATAAAAATAAAATAAATACTCTATATGGTGCTGTAAAGTTAGTGCACGAGTTAAAAACAACAGTCTCGTTATAAAACTATTCCGTCGGGATTTTTAACCGTCGTAGATAGTTAATATAACGGTTACAAACCCTTACAAAATGGTTCCGTGACGAGACCGTATAATCTCCCATTAATTCACACATGAAAGGATGGTGTACAATTTAAAAATTCTTTAAAAAATATAAAAAATTGGCCAACTCATAACTGAATACCGAAAGAACATTAATTAGATACTATAAAATTAAAAATATATATATATTTATAATAATTATTATAGTGTCAATGAATTAGTCAATAAATTATGATGAATCAAACCCAGATTTAATAATTGTTTCAAAATTTACCAAGTGGTAATTAACAAAGAAAGACTAGATTCCTGCATGGTTGTTCAAATAATTAATCATTTGAGTGATGTTAACTTTAATCCTGAAATCTTTTAATCAAATGATAAATATATTTTTAATTATCTAATAGTATGATTTTCAATTATTAGATTGAAAAAAAAATATATAGAAATAGAAGTCAATTGAAAAAGCTTATTCATAAGATCTGCAAAAGTTAGTACTATGTATTACTGTTAATTTTATTTTTTATATATATGTTGCCTAGAACTACTATTATCTCAAATCAATTGTTATTATTATTATTATAGATGTTAAACATTTAATTAAATTAGGTCAAATATTAAACAAGTTATGATTCCAAGTGTCTAACAATAAAATTATTCCTGATCAGAAAGATAAGATTAATTAACTAACCCTTTTTTGGATGGCTGATCATATCAAGCAATAGCAACTTGTCTTCCATTTACTGCATAAATTATTGACTAATCTCATCTTTCTTTATGCCTTTGTTTTTTATTTATTTATTTTTTTGTTTATGTTTGTACTATAGTCTCTGAAAGTTATTAAAAATAAATAAATAAATAATGTCATATGGTTGTGCTATGGGATATGTCTATGTAAATCTATGCCCACAAATCTAGTAGAATATTTTAATTTTTATGGGGTACAAAAATTAGTGGATGGGGGTGTTCAAGCATAATTAATTTATTAGAGAAAATGGAATCATTAATTAAAAATATCAAGGAATATTTCACCTATAAAAGCAACTTCTTTTGGGGGAGTACGGACTTTGAGTGAACAATTTTAATGACATGTAAATAATTTATATAGTGAACATTTCAAATTAGAGTATATAAATTTATAAAGTATAACTTAAAGGTGCAAAATATGTATTAATATTTTTCTTTTATTTTAATGTTAAATAAGACACCACAACAATTATTATTATTATTATTATTATTATTATTATTATTATTATTATTATTATTATTATTATTATTATTATTATTATTATTATTATTATTATTATTATTATT